TTACAACAACATCGGTCTGTTATATCAATCAATGGGTAATAATGAGATGGCACTGTCATACTTCGTGAAAGGGCTTGAAATTCATCAAAAATCTCTTCCATCAGATCATCCAAATCTAGCTGCAATTTACAACAACATCGGTCTGTTATATCAATCAATGGGTAATAATGAGATGGCACTGTCATACTACGAGAAAGTGCTTGAAATTCATCGAAAATCTCTTCCATCAGATCATCCAAATCTGGCTCTAAATTACAATAATATCGGTGAGTTATATCGATCAATGGGTAAATACGAGATGGCATTGTCATATTTGGAGAAAGCGCTTGAAATTCATCGAAAATCTCTTCCATCAGATCATCTGAATCTAGCTGCAAATTACAACAGCATTGCTGCTGTGCATTATTCCACAGGAGACTATGCGATGGCACTGTCATACTACGAGAAAGGGCTTGAAATTCATCGAAAATCTCTTCCATCAGATCATCCAAATCTGGCTGCAAATTACAATAACACTGCTGCTGTGCATTATTCTCTCGGTGACTATAAGATGGCACTGTCATACTGGGAGAAAGCGCTTGAAATTTGTCGAAAATCTCTTCCATCAGATCATCCAAATCTAGCTCTAAATTACAACAACATTGCTGCTGCGTATTATTCCACAGGAGACTATGCGATGGCACTATCATTCTACGAGAAAGCGCTTGAAATTCATCGAAAATCTCTTCCATCAGATCATCCAAATCTGGCTCTAAATTACAACAACATTGCTGCTGCGCATTTTTCCACAGGAGACTATGCGATGGCACTGTCATACTATGAGAAAGCACTTAAAATTCATCGAAAATCTCTTCCATCAGATCATCCGAATCTAGCCGCAAATTACAACAACATCGGTCACTTATATCAATCAATGGGTAATAATGCGATGGCACTGTCGTACTTGGAGAAAGCGCTTGAAATTCATCGAAAATCTCTTCCATCCGATCATCCAAATCTAGCTGGAAATTACAGCAACATCGGTGTTGTGCATTGTTCTCTCGGTAAGTATGCCATGGCACTGTCATACCTGGAGAAAGCGGTGGAGATCATGCAGAAAGCACTGTCAAACAACCATCCATGGCTAGCTGGGATGTATAGCAACATGGCTGCGGCATTAGGAAAGCTCAGACGATACAATGAAGCTGTCGGTTATGCTATACAAGCTGCTGAAATAGCTCGTTCTTCTTTGGGGCCTGATCATAAGAACACTAAAGCTTTTCAAAATCAACTTCGTCAGCTTCAACAAATGATGTCATTATTGTAATCTGAAACTATTAATAGCCACGAACGAAAGTGATTTGTTTGTAATATTTTAATGAACTATCACGTTTGATCTATGAATCTTAATTTCTTCAGTTTGGGATTGCCAATTTAGTTTTGTCTAGGTTCGATTGTTAACTTCGTGACTCATGTTTAGTTCGTATATGTTCTCCTTGCTTTCTTTGAGTTTTATTGCTTACTGAATTTGTTTGCTGAGGATGTTTATTCTTACTCGTATAATATATTGAATCACATTTCCAAGATGTGAAGTTCTGGTGAGGAATTAATGCTTGTGAATTCATGATGATTTTCGCGAGCTAAATGATTTCAGAAATACAAATGGTTCATTTATGATAGATCATAATTAATTGTTTCTGAGGGTGGGGTGGGTGTGGGTGGGTGTGGCTGCGGGTGTGAGTGTGGGTGTATTTGTGGTTAGAGAAAAGGTCCACACCCACACCCTAAAGGTTCAATGAAAAGAGATTGCATTCGATTTCAGATTTTATTTTTATTTATTTAAAGTATGCAATAGTAGCTTTTTTTTATTAGTTATGTGATTAACCTGAACTGCTTGAACAAGAAGGAACAGTATTAATAGCACCATCTGGAGCAGTAGGATGTCGTCGCACACAAAAGCCTTTTTCTTTCTGATTAATCAATTCAACATAGATTCGTAAATTTGGTCCCGAACAAGAAAAAAGAAGATCATCTAATCAATCGCCATTGAGATCGATATTACGACAGCAGTCAATGACCATATTATCTATCTGCTGCATACAATAAATAGTGTTTGGAAGACCTTGAGCTGCACTAATAACTGCATACAATGATAATGCCAGCAGAATAATCATTACTTGATTATTTTTCATGATGTTGATGAAATCAAAAATAATGGATGCGTATTGAAATATAACTATTCCTTTTTATAGTGTTTCATCTGCGTATTTGAAGATATTTTAATAAATCAGATTAGTAAATTGATACTGTGTAAACTGATTAAAAAAGTAAAGATTGATATGTTCTTTATACATTGTACTAAAATATTTATCTGCTTTCAATGATGTCAAATTGTTATCTTGGTGGAAATTAATGCGTACTTTTGTTGTCAATCATTATTAAAATCTAAATTCTATATTCAATAAGTGAATAACATTAAGATCAGATTACAAGGTTGATCAAAGTTCATTTGTATATAAGCTATTATGTCGACAGTAATGATGTCTCACAAAAACAAGAGAAAATTCTGAATATAATGTGATACTGCCTATATCCTATTTTATAATAGACTGTTGT